CCTAAATCGCCTACTACTCAGTAGGCACTGCATTTTAATTTGAACCTACTGCTCTTCCGTTAGAAAAGTACGTTCTATACAAGATGAATGGGAGAAGTATGAATGGAATGCTGTCGTGCTACATCCGCCATTTTGTCATGGTCATGTGACCTGCATGCGTCAGTTGCATCGTATCACTCCCATTCAGGAATTCACTCGTGGGACATCATGGGATAGCACAGCGTGCATAGGATGCACTCTTCTGAATCTCGCCAGAAGTAGTAAGTCATCCGGGTACTTCTCGCATACTGATGTTCGGATTGTATGAATTCGAACATACTACTCGGCTCGCATACTGATTTTAGCGTACTATATAGTATGGAAGTGTGCAGTTTTGGACGCAGCATAAGTCTTTAAAACATTATGAATGAGTAAAAACCTTAGCAGATATTCTGGCTCTGATTGGCTGTTGCCATTTTCCATTCTCGTCTCGACTCAAGCCATTACTTTCAGCATTGGGTTTATCTTTGGGCTGCTCCGGCCAATAGCAGAACAGCAACTACTTGGGAGGTGGATACAGATAGTTAGTCCCCATCTGATCAAATTTAGATCCAATGCATAAAATAAATGTCATTTATCAAACATGTCTGCAATAGGTACAGTATACTATAATCGCAGTAACGATAATTTTACGATATATTGTAGTGAACTGCAGATTCATTCGCTGCAAGGAGAATTTCACCTTAAAGGGACAGTTCACCCCAAAATAAAACAGTTCCTCATCATTTGTTCTCCCTCATGTGGTTTTAAACCTGTTTGTGTTTCTTTATTCTGTTAAACACAAAAGAAGATATTGTGAAGAATGCTGGATAAAGATAGTAAGACGCTACCTGATTGGTCGATTTTAGATCAACAACCAATGCATGTAATAGACGTAATTTATCACACGTCTGCGATATCTACAGTATATTGCATATACTGTGCAATTAATCAATTTTGAAAAAATCAATAAAAATTATGAAAAATTATGAAAATTTATGAAAAAATCATTAATCGAGATAAACGATTATTAACTTAGCAGCGAGAAAGACCGCATGCACAGTTTGTTTCATATTTTTATTCTGTTGTATTTATTTCTCTTTCCTTTGCAGGGTGGAAAACAACTGTATATATGCAGTTGAAGTCAGAGTTATTAGCCCTCCTGAATATTAGCAACTCTTTTCCCTTTACCCTTTTATTAAACTATTTTCAAAATACAAGCATTCAGATTCAAAGTGCAATCAAAGACTTAATTAGTGTAATTAGGCAAGTCATTGTATAACACTAGATTCTTCTGCAGACAATCAAAAATATATATTGCTTAAGGGAGCTAATACTATTGACCTTAAAATGGGTTTCAACATTTAAACCTGCTTTAATACTAGCCAAAAAAACAGACAAACTAAAAAAAAACAAATAAGCTTTTCTCCAGAAGAATACATAGTGAATATATATATATATATATATATATATATATATATATATATATATATATATATATATATATATATATTTAAAAACATCTGAGGAGCACTAATAATTTTGACATCAACTGATATTCGTGATAACAATTATGACAAAAATAATCGTGATTATGATTTTCCCCAAAATCGAGCAGCCCTATGATATATTGTACATCCCTCATCCTGAACTTCAGATTCATTCACTTGTTCATGCTACAAGGAGAAATTCATCTTAAAGGCACAGTTCATCCCTAAATAAAACATTTTTCTCATCATTTATTCCCCCTCATGCGGTTTTAAACCTGTTCGCGTTTCTTTATTCTGTTAAACATAATAAAGAAGATAGTGTGGAGAATGCTTGTTGCTGGAACACATTAATTTTCATAGTAATTAACTAAAATGACTATGGAAGTCAATGAGCGCCAGCATCTAGCGTTTTTCTAAATATCTTCTTCTGTGATCAACAGATAAAAGAAACTCCAACAGTAATAAATGATTCATTTTTAAGTGCACTGTCCCTTTAAGTGGCTTTAGAAATGCTTGCCGTTTTTCTACTATGGTTTATTTGGCCGATGAAGACATTCCAGTAAGGCAGATCTTTGCCAAATAAGTTCAAACAAGGTCTTTTTGGAGAACTGCTTACATGAACAGATGCTTAATGTACTGTTGGAACACCTGCATTTCTTTTTGGACATCCAGACGTTTTCTCACCATTTTCGACACTCCAGACCGATCCGCTGTTGAGTAACACTAGTGGAAAATACAGGACAAGGCATTCCTGAGCGGCTTTGACATGCTTTCTCTTGTGCCCGCGTTATAATTGTTTCTCTCGGTTTTCCCTTGCTGCTTTGTTTAGCTGTTTTCGCTTGTCTGTTTTTTGACTTGGATCTGAGTCAGTCTGTAATTGATCCCATATGTGGCTTTTCCTTCCCAGACTCCACCTCTTTCCTTCCGAGTTTGCTCAGTTTGTGTCTGTTTAACTCATTTTCTGACGTCTTTGTTGGTGTCTGTGTTTTGTTTTTGTACAAACTTTTGTAGCTGCCGTTTTTAGTTGTCATAGTAATCAATTTAACTGAGGAGGTTTCTTACAGATAGTGTGGCAAATTTGCTAAATTTCTGAAATAATTAATTACATGTAAAAATCCACATAATATGGATTCTATTGATTAGTACTGAACTATGTATTAAAATCAAAAAAACAAAAATTAAAGACGACAATGTTTAAAAATTCTCATGGAACTGACAAAAAAGTTAATTTGAGAATAATGTAAAATTATAGAAATAGTTAAACAAATTTAAATTTACCATGAAATAGTATTTTTAATAATATAACAACTATATAATAATAATAATAATTATAGTTATAGGGGTTAATTATAGGGATTCCCAAGCTTTTCAGCCCACTACTCCAAAAATAACAAAGCCAGTGACTCGTGACCACCATTATTTGCACGCAACTGCTCACACACACCAATAGGCCTACATAAACACAATCACATTCATAACACAAACATATGCAGCAGTCAGTCCAAACAAATCATCTTTTTTATTTTGATTATTATTTAATATTAACCTCAACTAATGAGACTGTTGGGCACAATGTTTAAGTTACTTTACAAGTCTTTTCTTGGTTTAGTTTTGGAGACCGCCACACTGAGATCATCCTCCATGTTTCCTCGTGGCCTGTATTTGTTTTATATGTACGTGAGTGCCAAAAAGGTTTCAGGAAGTTTAGGCTGGTGCTGTAAAATCAAACTGCTTAAACTGACGCTGTCATTAATGTAACGTAAAAACCCCAGAGGTTGCAATCGAACAGTGAAAAAAATTATAATCTAAAGGCTGATGGCTTTTTATTTGCATGTCATATTTCTAATGTTACTATTTTTTATCTTCTGTAAGTTTTGGATTAACAGTGGTAACTTTAAAAGTTTATTCAAATTTATTAGATTTTTAGAAATCACCAGGTGACCTCCCTCTCATTGTCCCGCGACCCCCACTTTGGGATACTATATATATATATATATATATATATATATATATATATATATATATATATATATATATATATATATATATATATATATATATATATATATATATATATATATATATATTT